TTTAATGTTGCTAAGTTGACAGAGAGAATTTTTTTATATTTATTTTTAGAAGCAGATTCCAGCATAGGAAGATTTTCTTGACTTTTCACAACTTTTTTCTTTGTTCTGTTTTCTGCTTTTTGGTAGAACATCTTTCTACCTCCTCTCCTCCCCCTTCATTCATATGAGAAAAATCAGTCTGACATGAACCCTTATGAGATTTGTACCCAATTACAAGTATCAGGTTATTGATGCAGGAGAAAGAACTAAGTCATGAATATTTACAAAGTTATTGGCAGCAGAATAAACGAGAAATAAATTGTATCCTTTTGGGTTTTGCTTTTCTGTATTAGTTTGGTTTTTAGTATTTACTTAGTGGTGTTACAGGCAAAATGGCTTCTTTGAGCCCAGTAGCATAGATTTATGTAATCCAAGTACTTTGTTGTTCTAATACACAATATAAATACTGTGAAAAAAAAATGCAGTTTTGCCATCTGATTTACCTCTTAAATGTTTGTTTCATATTGGTCTTCCTTAGCATATCCTTTAGTAATGCTTCTTTTTTCCACTCATTTCTACATTTCAGAGACCTGATTACCACCAAAAATTTGTTCTTTCATCTCTCATTGTTTCTCTTCTTAAAAGAAGTTTTTGAGAAAGCAAAGTAATCCTTAATTGAACTTACCAAAGCGTTCTGAAGAATTTATTCCATTAATAGCCAATAATAGCTCAAAAATACTAGCCAAATTTTCAGGGAATTTTTACAAATTAAACATTTTATGAAGAGGGAAAAGCACAGTCTAGTGCAGGAGCTTCACCGACTGTTAGGTATCTATGTAATATATTAGTAAACTGGTTTCATAGTGAAGTTACACTTAGATCAGCAATCCTAGCATGTAGAATACTTTTTCCTGTTACAAATACTTTTAAAAGGTATTATTGGTAATTATTGCCACATCCTGATAATAGTGGTGTGTGTGAAGATGCAAAGAAAGGGAGAATTTGGAGGGTAGTTAGTGGTGTATTACAGTACTATATTAATGTGAAAAATGTTAAACATGCTGTGATAAATCTCATTCAGCTGACTTGAGTCATTTGAAGATGAGCGCTTTTTCCAAGTGGCCGCTACTTAAAGAAGGCTAATACTTAAATAAGGAATTAAAAAAATGTCAGGCTTCAGCCTAGTCCGACAGCTTCTACATCCACAAAAGAAGTGTAGAAAAAAATCTTACGTACTATAGTAGTACAGTAGCATTGCAGGAGCTGCAAGCTTGCTTTGTTGACTTTTGCAGTAGGAAAGATGAAGTCAATATTGCTTAACTTCATTGCTGAATAATTTTAAGTGTGCTTTAAATTAATGGAGAATAGTAAAAGGAACATTGGTGTAGCAGGTCACTGATTTTTGAAGAGCAATTTGATAACCTTAGACAAAAGGCACTAAAGAGTTTCAAGTTTTCTTAGCTGTCTCAACCAACGCCACCTCTAAGCTATTTTCATGATTGCTTGTTCTTTGCTCTGGCAGTCACTAGATTTCCCCGACCCGTATCACCTCTTCAGGATGTGGCCATCATCATTGGAAGCCGTGAACAATTAGCAGTGTTGTTGCAACTCTATGATTATCAGCTAGAACATGAAGGTACCACAGGCTGGGAGACGCTACTATGGGTAGTCAACCAACTGTGAGTTAATTTGTATCTTACGATTCCTACTTTTAAAAGTGTTAAAATTAATCATTTAACAATTATTAAATATAAACATATGTTGTTAAACATAACATTTTAAGTATGATTGTGTTTAAGAATTATTAAAGAGGAAAAGTGCATTTTTTTTAGGTGTTTGAATTTTCACATTGAATTTATTTTAGTCAGAAAATAATCAGCTGTCTAGCAGGATGTGTAGGTAACTGCTTGCTCTAAAAAATTGTTTATTTCATCTTTGAAATAGTATAGTCAATTATCTGCTGAGGGTGAAGATTGTTATAGTCTGAATATGTCATGAAATACACTGCAGTAACAGATGCTTGAAAATATAGGTCAGCCTTTCCTGGCACTTAAACTCTTGCTTTATTTAAGGCTTAGGAATTTTACAGAACATGTAGCTAGTTATGTTAGGACCAATAATTACTATAAACAGTGAATCTCTACAAATATACTGAAGAGAAACAAAAGATCAGAGTAGTCTTTAATACTCTTTATGTTTCCTGATTTTTAGGTTACCACAGCTTATAGAAATAGTTGGCAAGATCAATGTAGCATCAACTGCCTGTGTCCATGAGTTCTCTAGATTCTTCTGGAGACTTTGTAGGACATTTGGGAAAATTTTTACAAACACTAAGGTAAGATATTACCTTAAATATCCTACAAAAAGAGTCCCTTGCTAATATATAGTCTCCATATTTACAGTGTGCCTGAATACCTGAACTTTATATGACTGTTTATATTTGCATGTCACACTGATGCTTTTCCATACATACACTTAAACCTGCTATTTTTTAAACCTCCATTTGCATCCTTTTAGTTTCTCTTTTTGGAATGGCATTCTCTTGTTCAACAAGGAAGGCATTGTTTCTTTAAACTCTGTTCTTCATATTTTCTTTCTGAATGGCACAGAGAGTGAGAGAGATAATCCTAATTCTAGTAATTTAGCTATATTTCTACAGAACAACATACTGTTCAGCATTTAGGGTGTACATAAGGACTCCAGCCTGTACTTGGTTGGAAATTCAAAATTAATACTTTCCCTGTCTGAAATGTTTTCTATAAATAATATCTAAACAATTTTATCAAGGAGATAGTTCTTTTTTTCTCAATAAATAACTTCTGAAATAATTAAAAAATATTTAAAAGGGAAATTATAAAACACAAGAGGATTACTTAAAGATAAAATTACAAAACAGGGTTAGCATTATGTGCTGCCTCCAGAGGGAAGATTAAAACCAGTCCCTGGCCTTTGAAACTCCTTTAAATTATCTCTAGAACTCTTGCTTCTGCATGTTCTTCTGATACTGATCATCACAGATACATGCACTTCATGGACAGCAGAGACATAAAAGAAGCCACTTTTTTTTTTTTTTTTTTTTTTACATATAGCTGGTAGAACCATAAACCCTGAAGTCTGACTAAGCATATTGACAAGAGACTTCAACTTTTGGTATCAGGAGTGCTAAATACTGCTCCCTCAGCATGTGGACTCAGTATAAATATTTATTCTTGTATGTTGTACCTCCATTTTTTGTAAAAGCTGGCTGTGCTTTTTAAATGTGTTTTTTTTCTTTCTGTACCTTCAAAATGTCCTTTCTCTGTTTTGGTTTTTTTTTTTAATTATTATTCCTAGTTTTTCCCTCAGTTAATTGATAGTGGTAACAGGTTTTCTTACATAGGATTCAACATCCTTTCTATAGGTAAAACCACAGTTCCAGGAAATCTTAAGACTCTCTGAGGAAAATATAGGTAAGTAGCTTTTTACTCAAATTAATAAAAAGAACATATTCAGACTGCAGTTCTCAAATTATTGTCTCTCTGAAATGTTGAGAATCTAATCTTAATCTGAATGGAACACCCTGAAGTTGTGGGTTGTGTGGGAAGTACAAACAAAATCTCAAAATCAAATACCACTTGAACATTTTAGCTCAAGTGTCCGTGTGTAAGTGTGCATATGTATGTAAATCCTTTGTGTATACATAAAAAGGTGAATATATAATACCTATAATACACACGTATTAGTCTACCATATATAGTAATTATATAGTGTATATATATGCACACAATATATATTACTGTGTGTATATATATAGTATATACATTTATGTATATATAAAACCTAAATTGTTCACTGTCTTTCATTAGATTCCACTGCAGGTAACGGAGTGCTAACAAAAGCCACAGTTCCCATCTATGCAACAGGGGTCCTTACATGTTATATTCAGGTACTCTTGTTTTTCTGTTTCTTTGTTAAATGAATAATAATATCCAAAAGTCAGTCCACTGAAAACCTTTACTGTATTCTTTGAAAATGTACAGTGCCCTTCTGCTTTGAAGATAAGTAGAGAAGTGGGCAGCTGTGAACACACTTAAAAATTTTCTTGTCAGGTTCTCTGCTACATTTAGGTGGCAGTCATCAGTGTTAAAACCTGAATTCAGTAAGTCTTCAAACGGCATTTGGCATCTTCGCCACTGACATTGACAGCTGCCATCTGCCTCTATCCAAAGTACTACTGTTATTCCATAAATGGGTTCTTGGCCTGTGATCCCTGCAAACATAATTTCACAGAATTTACTGAAACAGATAAGCATGTAAATTGCCATTTGAAGAATAGTTGGGAGTCTTAAAATTTTAGTGTTGCCTGGCACGGAAAATAAACACTCCATAAGTAATACTACCTAATCCTCTGGTAACCAGCAGTTATGGGCTGGCATGTGTGTAGCTTACAGGAGAAAAATACACTCTCAGGAGCCATGAAAGTATTCTTCTTAGAAGTTTCTTTAGAAAAGCATTTTGGGTAGTTTATACACAAGTGTATGCTTAGTTGATGAAATACAGAAACCCAGTCTCTTCTTGTTTTTGCTTTGAAGGGTTCTTGTTCTTTAACAATATTATTATGAACTTCAAGAACATGGTTACAGCTAATTCTAGTTTATTCTTGTTCATAGTTTGCCTCTTTGGTAGCTGTTGGTCATCACAGCCACAGCAACACTTCTACTTCATCCAACATTGTGCACTCTTCTTTCAGGAAGAAGACCGCAAGCTATTAGTGGGATTCTTGGAAGATGTCATGACCATGCTTTCACTCTCCCATGCTCCTCTTGATAGCCTGAAAGCTTCTTTTGTGGAACTGGGGTAAAGAATATACCTTGAAGTTGGCTAGATCTAAAGGCTTTTAGAAGTTTTTATTAAAAGCTGTTAATCTGGCTCTAATTTTAATCACTGTGATGCTTTGGGTGATTGAAGTGTATATTTGCTTTTCTTATTGTTTCACAAAATTTAAACTTCTGATCTCTAGGTGAAAATGTAGTAGTAAAAATATTCTGAAGCCTAAAAAAGAAACACCAAAACAAAACAAAAAAACCCACAAAAATCAGTCATTGAGAATAAAATGGTAATTAATGTTGTGGTTTCCTTAGTATTATGATGCATTCTAGATACGTAGTTGCATTCAGTTCAGTGTAATAATTTATTGAAAATTATATTATTAAAGTGTTTTTTTAAAACAAACAAACTTTGAAATGCAACGTATTTTCTAGACAGCAACACATTGCATGTCCTTCAGACCAAGGTAAATGTTATGTATCCCTCAGAAAGGATAGATGTTGAACTTACAGATTTGTTAAGCAATGGATTCTTGAGACTACACTTTATAGGCAAAGAACATATTTGGGGTTTGGGAGTATATATATAATTTTTTAATTTTTTTTTAATTGTCCAACTGTTTTATTTCAGTGCAAACCCAGCTTATCATGAGCTGCTATTAACTGTCTTATGGTATGGAGTTGTCCATACTTCTGCTCTTGTTCGATGTACAGCTGCTAGAATGTTTGAGGTAAGTGTTATCCAAGCTTCTTACACCTCTGTAAGACTAGAGTTTATTTTTAAAAACCGCTATTCATGGGATGTTGCTACATTCTTAAAAAGTATAAGTTACTTAAATAAGTTGTGTACTGTGTGATGGAGCAGGAAGTTGTTGTGCAGTTGTTCCGGTATCTGTTCTGTGTTCAGCACCATGTCTTTCATTAAGCAGTTTGTCACTAGCCACTTGCAAGCTGTTTCTGTAGTAACTGTGTGTTCTCTGATCTTCTGCTTGGTGGTTGTGTTCTGATTATTGCATGCTAAAAAACATTTTCTGATTATGAAAACACTGCTAAACTCTGTTCAAACCAGAATAGAATGCATTGTCAAATGTGCTTGCTTCTGTCTGTAGATAAACATAAACATCTCTCAGAGTTGTAACATTGTTTTTGCTCTACAACACATCATCAGTAGCCTAATTCCCACATTACAGGTTTTTGTTACTTTTTGTGTATACTCAGACAATGCACTTGAATTGTAATTCAAACTAGTTGCCATTGGTGCCAAGTATGGTGTTAAAATGTACATGTAAACAATTATGTTTTTTACAAATTAAAATAATGTGCTGTTCCTTTACTTGCCACATAGTGACAGCTTGATTTTTATTGCCAGCATTTATCAATTTGTTCAGGATAAAGACTGTTACATTTAATTAATAGGTTTGCTTTTATATCCACATCATGCCTTTGTTTCATCGAGTGTTAATTAAAAATTACATACACAAAACCTCAGAGAAATACTCCATTTGCTGAAGAAAGATATTACCTTTTTCTTTTGCATATTAGAAAGAAATATTTCTAATCATGCAGTCACAGTCCATTGTTTTTCTTTTTTTTTTCTTTTTTGTTTCTTCTACATTTACCCCACTGGGATAGCTTTGCACAGGGCCTGCCACCTTGTATCCATCTGCAAAAATAAACCTCAAGTCTCCCTCAGAAAAAGAGCACTTGACGAAACAGATAGCGTTCCTTACTACAGCTCTACAAGTCATTGCAGATAAAACGCTAAACAAGCACTTTAAGACTTACTGAGACTTCAGCAGAAGGCATCCAACCCTGTCGTTTTTGGAGATGCAATTCTTGGTCACCTTTAAAATATTTTTTTGGTTGTGGAGGTGCTTTTAGTTTTTTGTTTGTGGGGTTTTTTTTGTTTGGTTTTAAATGTAAGAAGAATGTTTATTTTGTTTTACATTTGTAACAATAAGCTTTTTTTAGAAATAAACATTAGCTAAACATTTAAAAGACTTCAGTTACAACTAGCTATTGTCTTGCTTGCAGTTTCTTTTCAAATTCAGTTGTGTGCTGTTTATTTTTAGACAGTCCTGCATGCTATTTCACAGATCACAGACTCATAGTATGGTTTGGGTTGGACGGCACCTTTAAAGGTCATCTGTTCCAGCCTCCCTGTCATGACTGCTTGTTTCCTATTACACTTCAGTTTTTACTAAAACATAAGCAGCTTTGTTGCAGATGCTTTTCTCTCTTGAGAATATTATCATATTGCCCATTTGTTGATAACAAATGATATATGATATAGCATACACATTTATACATGGCAATATGTAAAGTTGGGAAGTGACCTGTGTAAAGAGGTGGTAATTTTTTGTTTTACTTTTGGAAGATTCCTTCACTCAAGGAATATCTGACATCTCAGAGGCTGCTGAATGGCAAAGCCCAACAATTGATAATAAAATGAGTAAATCAACTGCAGGATAGCTATGTAAGAACTATCAAGATTCTGAGCAGCACAGTGGTCTGTACAGCAGCACAGGCGCTGTTGTGACTTGAGGCTACCAGACTGCATTACAAAACCCTTACAGTCTGTTAAGGGCTGGAAGGAGACAGAAATTATTTGGAGCCATTCTACCCCTTCTCTCTTTCACAGGCAGGAAGCTTTGTGCTGACATTTTTAAGGTGTAGTATACACAAGTAATAATCACACATTAATCCAGAGGAATTAAAACTAAAAATTTGCTCTCTGTCTCACTGTGACCTTACATGCTGCTCCATGGTTTTGCACATCCAGCTGCTTCTGTTGGTTGTGTTAATGTTTTCAGACAGTAGTTTCTCATTTGAATGTTGAAGCAAACAGATTAGATTGCTGCTAGTTTGAACATGAAGTGCATAGTTGAGTTACAAGTTTTGTTGGTCTTTTGAGGTTCAAGGACAGGAACACTTATTTTTTGAAGGACACCTGAGTTATAAAGCAGATTTTATTTTTTATAAGACAGAACAATTCTGTTTACCATGCTTTAACATAATTAGAAGTGTGGCAGCCCACGTAGTCATGAAGCTGAGGAGGTTCTCAATTGTTTGGTAATTATACAAATCCCAAGCGTTTGTTTTTGTTTTTGTATTTTTCAAAGCACTACATTACCTCTAGGATTTTCTCAAAATTAAGATTAATAAAGGAAACTCAAGTTCCTGTTTGTTCAAAATAGAAAATAGTAAGCATTCTCTATTTTAATCAATGGCTAAATATATATGAGAGTAAATTCATTGTAACCTAGCAATGAGCTATGTCCTTAATAGCTGTTTAAAGAGTAGCCCATAAGCTCAGCACCTAGAGTTGTTACCACTGTAAATAATCATGAAGCATATTAATGTGTAAACATAGTAGTTAAACTGACATTCCTAATACTTTCTGAATAACAAGCATAGGAAGTTTCAGGTTTTCCCCTCCAGATGCTTTGCAGCAATAATGTGTACATTCTTACACACCTTTACAATTCTCTCCCCATTCTTCCTTCTCTGACTGTTACCAGTAGTGGCACAAATTGTTCAATGTGTCTGTGCACCCATGCATGTGTTCAGAGATGGTAAAGTAGGAATGCTCAAACAGCAGAATGTGAAACCTTTTCTAGTTGGAGGGTATAAGTATTGCCTGCTGTGAATATTGCACGGCATACTGACAGAACACTGCTTTCCTCATGGCCTATGAACCTTACATGTTCTTTTGTTACACTGCTGGAGGGAAAGGCGTAGAATTTAATTTGTGTCCATGATGTAATTTGAGTGATTAAAAGATAAGTAAATATTAAAAAGATATTTCAAATTTCTCACAGGAACTACTGGTAAGATTTTTATGTTTATCTCCTAAAACCTGCAAATACCTATAGACTTCCTTACATGATATACAAAATGGAAGTATCAAGGTTTTCCCTTTTTTATGAATGTAGACAAATATAACCTGTTTTGCTGAATATGGAGAAAGTTTGGAACTTGTAATTTTTGAAAATTAGCATGTTTTCATATATCAAAACCATGTATTGGTTATCTGCTACCTATGCATCAAATCTATGCTTATGTATGGCTACATAAGTAATGTAAAAAGCCACCCGGTAAAGCCTAAATTAAAACAATTTCCAGATATGTGTGGGTGTAATAAGTTTCACCATGATCTCATTTTTTTGACGTTTGGGATGTGTTGCAACAAGTATCTCTTTTCCCTAGTTTTCAAAAAGACTTGGTGAAATACATTCCATGGGTAATCCAAGGATTCTCCATTTTCTACCTGCACAGAGCAGCAAGGGAAGATTGAGAAGTTTCATATACATGCTGCTTGGATGGCAGTTAACATCTAAAATAGTCCTGAATGACTTTAACGAAAGCTTAGTGGCATCTGGGAAGGTGTTGTTTGTCATGTTCTAGAAAGTCCAAAAGTTGTCACTCAGTGGAGGAAACGTGCACGCATTTGGCCTAGCAATAGACAGCTGCTTTACTAGAATAAATACCATTCCCTAAAAGAGACCATTCCGTTGAATTAGGAACAGCATTTACATTAAACTGTCCAACTCAATTAGCATAGCTTTAGTGTTTAGTTATACATAATTGTATGCCTAATTACATAATTATATTAGCAATAGAATTGCATTCTAATACAAACACTTGCCAAACGAGTTTTAAAATAGCTGAAAATAGAGCAAACATCATCATGTTGTTGGATTTGTCAGGTTTTTGCTGGTTGCCAGACCACTTCAGCTTTCTTTGTGCCTTTGCATATATGAAGCACTAGTGTAGCAGTATTTGCTTAGCTTCTAATTTTGGTTTGCTTTTTGTGTTTTTTCTTTCTCTCTCTTGGTTGTGCCGTTCTTCTTCCCATGATACTGTGCTCGCTCTTTCCGTGCATCACCTGTGATACCCCCCTGCTCCGACCATTCAGCTGTTGGTGAAGGGGGTACATGAAACTCTGGTAGCTCAGAGAGTTGTTCCTGCTCTCATTACTCTCTCCAGTGACCCTGAAATGTAAGTTTTCTGACTGTCTTATATACCCGGCATCCCTCTTAATACTTAGGAAGAAATAACCATCAGTTTTGTTTCTTATTCTAGCTGAACAAAAATTGAATTACTTTTCAAGAAATGTAACTTTTGAATCAGTGATTTGTAAATAAAAAGGTTTACTGCAACACCTAGAACAAAACTGGATAAAACTGCCAAATAAACTTTTAAGTAGAAAAGTTAAATAAATTTAATTTCTATGTTTTAAAAATATTTCTCAGTTTTGAAATTTCCTCACATCATTTCTAGCAGAAAGCTGGATATTAGTATGTTCTGTAATGCTATGAGCTTTGCAACTGCAAGATTAAATATCATCTGTATTACTGAAATGCAAAATATTTTGGCTACATCTAATTTCTGATGGATAACTGTAGTACTTCATTTTCTGGACATTCTGATGTGATATTTCTTTCAAACTAAGGAGGGATGCTTTGCTAATCTCACTAACAGGTTGTCGCTAATAAATTCTGCAGCATGAACAGTGTCTTAAGCGTTTTTCTGTCTTGTGTGGGTGACTAAACCAAGAAAAACCCCAAGAGTCTGCCTGCCCATCCTCAGTCACAGCTAACCCAGTTCTTCAAGTTTACCAAACCATTTTTTATTGCATGTTGACTGGTTTACAGCTGACTCTTCGAGGCATGAGTGAAGCCTTAATTGACAAGCGGGTTGCTCCGGCCCTTGTTACCTTGTCCAGTGATCCTGAATTGTGAGTTTCAGATTGAGACCTTGAGTTAATCCTGTCTGTCTTTTTCCTGGTCTGCTTTTTTTGTTTTGTCATTGCTAGAAACTAATGTAACTCATAGTACTAATTTTTTCATTTTGCTTTATTTTTAATGAATTTTATCCTTCGTGTTTAATATATTATAAAGTCTCTATATTTCTCTTGTAGTTCAGTAAGGATTGCAACAATTCCTGCTTTTGGGACCATCATGGAAACTGTTACTCAGAGAGAGGTAAGACACCTGTTGTCAGATTGTTGGTTTTGTAGCAAAAGAAGTGGGTGATTTTTTTAGAAAAAAATGAATAAAAATTTAAAAAAAAGAAAAAAATTGAATAAAAACATTTCCTTTGAAATTCAAACAAAATATAAGCAAAGAAAAACAGATATATAGAAGGGGAGACCTGTGCTAGAAGATGGAAAATCTTATGCTCAAAATGTTTTTTGAAACATTCTCCAACACAATTGAGAAACCAAAGTCCAGTTTTTCAAATAAAATAACTACTTCAAAACGCAAACCACAGTCACTGTGGGATTCAGTTACCTTCACATAAGTATATTGTCCCATTTTAGATGCTGTAGGATACCCTGCTTCACTTTTCCACTACTTCAGAAGGAGACAAGTCTCTTGTATTTCCTGTCATAACTGCTGGTTTAGTCCCTAGCATCCAAGATGGCATTAAAAGACATCATATTGACATGACTGAAATAGTCCTTGAAGATAAGACAGATATGCAACTCCCCCTTGTTTTTGTTTTGTGTTTGTTTGGTTTGGGTTTTTTGTGTTTTTTTTAATTATAAAACTTTGGTTATAGATCACAATTCTGAAAAAGACCCCCAGGATTCTGCTATAAGCAGTAGAAATACTGCCTTTTGTTTTATATAACGGTACAATCAAATTTCTTCTTGAAGTCCTCAAAACTTTTTGCAGAGCTTGCATTCTTCCTGTAATTTCAAAACACCCTGAAAGAATGTGTTTGAGGAAATGTGAGTAAGAAGTCAGTGATGACTCACAAGTACTTGGGGGATGGATAAGTTACAATTTTGTAGCTTGGAATGCATGCCTGTAATCAGTTTGGGAAGAGGACTGTTTTGTTACCACACAAAAATTACTGTATCCATTCCACTAATTATAATAACGCTTGGAGTACAGAAGTGATACAGCCTTCCAAAATGTATCAAAAAGTGTTATTTTTAGAACTTAAAATGCAAATTAAGTGTTTATTTCAGTATCAGTATATTTGTATACTCAGTTTTTCTAGCCTTTAGAGGAAATACTTTTTAATTCCATTGATTTTATGATGTATACTATTGCATCTCTGCCTTCTGCAGAAAATTTTTCAACATACTAGGATATAAAAAAAACAAACATGAATTCAATTCTAATTAAGCAGGATAACTCCAAAGGTATTAACAGAATAGAGGGATATTTTAATAGCAGGTTAAGAATATGAGTATCAAAACCAAGGAGACCTCAGGAGGAAGGACCAGCTATATGGAAGCATCTGTCTGTAGTTAAAGGTAGATCAGATTAAAACACCGTTAGCAGTCTTTAAAATGTAGAGCTGCATTGAAGAGTTTGGAACATCCTGTCAGAAAAAAATGTAAATTAACAGGAGGTCCAAGGTTTATCACGTGAAATATGCAGGATTATAGACATGCTCTGGACTGACCAAAACAGTTTCTAGAATCTTCATTCTTTTGTGTACTTTTCATTTTTCTGGGAATATTTAAGCTTCTGGAAAGAGTAAAAATGCAGCTGGCATCTTTCCTGGAGGACCCTCAGTATCAAGATCAACATTCTCTACATACAGAAATCATAAAAACGTTTGGAAGAGTTGGACCTAATGCTGAGCCCAGATTTAGAGATGAATGTAAGTTGCATCAGTGGGAAGATTGTCTTCCTCCTTCTGTCCCAAAGCTAACAGTATGCTGGTTATATTGTTTTGGTTTGGTTTTTTGTCTTTACAAAAAGTCTGATAAAAACTCTTCAGAGTTTGATAGGTCCCAGTATTTAAGACTTTGCTAATACAATTTTCACTTAACCTAACGTTGCTGTGTATATAGAACACATGGTGATGAATGATTTCAGGACTGCAGGAGACTGGTCACTTTGCTGCAGAGCAAATTTGAAGTTGTCTCTTTTTTTTATTGCTTGACATGTGAAATGTCTTCTGCTCCCCCTTCCCTCGTTGCTTCACCCCTTGCTGGCATATACACATCAAGTATTCCACACATCTTAAAAATAAGTGCATCCCAGATTAACAAAACAACTTTTTTCTTTTTTTCATGGCCCTGCAATGTAAAGCACATAGAATAGCAAAGTAGATTCTCAGAGTGTCTTAAAGATAATTGTAAGCAAAACATGAGAAGCTATCATGCCTCCCCACTGCAGGCATTGGGCTAAACTCATTAGATAGGCTTTCTCTATAGTCAGTGAATATTTCTGGTGACATGCATATCTCTGTCACTAGCTTATCAGCCATATTTATAAAATAGAAGCATATTTTAAACAGTTTTAGCAGCGGAAGAGTAATAATGTTGCAAAGTATTTTCTGAAACCTATTCCTGTTTCAGAGGTACTCTGAGGTACCTTTTTTATTTTAGATTTGTTTTACCAGTTTTGTTTCAGGTTTGAGTTGATCAGTTAAATCTGCAAGGGCAGTCCCATCAAAAACTATTATTTGCAGTTCTTATTCCCCAGTGATGTGTGATGCTTCAGGTGCCTGTGATTGTCACTTAGCAGCTGTTTAATGCTAAGCAAGTCTACAGAAAGCAATTTCAAGTACTTATTCCACTGTTTACTTTTACAGTTGTTATTCCACACTTGCACAAGCTAGCCTTGGTCAACAACCAGCAGTCTGTGGATTCGAAGAGACTGGATATTGCTACACACCTGTTTGAATCCTATAGTGCTCTTTCCTGTTGTTGTATCCTTTTTTTAGGGGAAGTTTAGCTATTAATTCTCTGGTTGGGGGGAAGATATTAGATACTTGATAAATAACCTAGTTGGTCTTTGAATGTGTAAGACATGATCCGCTCAATATAAAGAATGGGTTTGCACAGAAGATGGAGGTGCTGAGTTGACCTTGGCTGGATGCCAGGTGCCCACCAAGCTGCTCTGTCACTCACCTGCTAAGAAGAATGGGGGCAGGGGGAATAAGATGGGAATAAAAACTCATGGACCAAGATAAAAGCAGTTTAATAAAGCAAAAGCCATTTGAAAGCAAAGGAAAACAAAAGATTTATTCTTTACTTCCCATCATCAGATGATGTCCAGCCACTTCCCAGGAAGTAGGACTTCAGTACACATAGCTGTTGCTCCAGAAGACAAACATCATAATAATGAATGGCCTTCCTCTTCCTTTCTCTTAGTTTTTTCTTGCTAAGCAGATGTCACATGGCATGGACCATCCTGTTGGTCAGTTTGGGTCAGCTCTCCTGGCTGTGTCCCCTCCCAACATCTTGCCCACCCCCAGCCTACTGGTGATGGGGGATGCTGGAGCTCTGCTCAGCTGCAGCCATGACTGGTGTGTTAGCAACACCTTTCTAGCTGCCAGTACAAAGCACAGCACTATGAGGACTGTTACGTGGAAAATTAACTTGGTCTCAGCCAGACCCAATACAATGGAACTGATAGATTTTTTAAAAAAATAAACTACAAGAACAAAGACCATGATTTTAACTAGTAAATTAAGAAAAAAACATTAAAATAATTGTTTGGGTGTATGAATTTTATTTCCCTTTTTTATTAGTCAGGAAGTGCCAACTGCAGTTGTTTCCTTGTGTTTTGCTGCTGTGTTTAGTAAACTAACATTATCAGAAAACAGGAAAAAAAAATAATTGTGTCATTTCAGAAGACAATCGTTATAATGCCTTGACAATCTGTTTTTTAGTTATTTCAGAGGATCTAATGGTCAATCACTTTTTACCAGGACTGAAGTGTTTACGAACTGACATGGAACATCTCTCACCAGAGCACGAGGTGAGCAGCAATGTTTACTAACTGAGTATGAGATGCAGGTGGCAGCAGAAGTTCAAAAGTAGTGGTATTTAAAACCAAAATTTAAGGAAAGCCACTTAAGGAGTATTAAAACATAACATTGAGGGGGGTGTTTATTAAGGAATAGATCACATGATTTTAAAACCAGTAAAATCCTGTAAAATTTCTTTCTAAGCTGAGTCCCTCCACAGAGAAATACTCAACAGTAAGAAATACGTGTAGAAACACAGATCTTTGTAGAGTGAAGAAAAGGGAAATGTTTTTAACATCTGTTTTTTCATCAAACCGAGGATACACAACAATGAATGGCCACAATATATCCAAGGAAGTGCAGATGAAAATTGATGGAATGCAGGAGAAAAATGATAGGCAAAGATAAGGAAAGTATAGTCCTGAAATGCATGGGATGCACTTCATATTTGGAGCACTGTTTCCAGTTCTGGGCTCCCCAGTATAGACTCATGGACCTACTGGAGAGTCTTCAGAGTAGGGCCATGAAGGACTGAAGCATCTATCACTGGAGGAGAAGCTGAGAGAACTGAGACTGTTCAGCCTGGAGAAGAGAAGGGTAAGATGGGAACTTAACCAGTGTATATAAATACCTGAAGAGAGGGCACAAAGACTACAGAGCCAGGCTTTTCTCAGTGATGCCCAGTGACAGGACCAGGGACACCAGGCACAATCTGAAAAACAGCAGGTTCCATCTGAACATCAGCAAACAGGTATTTTTTCTTGTTTTGGGGGAGACTGAGCACTGGCACAGATTGCTCCCAAAGATTGTGGAGTATCCATCCATGGAGATACTGAAAAGCCATCTGGACACAGCCTTGGGTAGCTGACCCCAGATGGTCCTTCTTCAGCAGGGGGTTGGACCAGATGGTCTCCAGTGGTCCCTTCCAACCTCAACCAGGTTTTCTGCGATTCTGTGAATTGCAAAAAGCAGATTATAATCAGACAGGACAGTGTTGGACTTAACAAGGTCTTCCCTGGTAGAAGAAGCTTACAGAAAGCAAAAGAGAAGACTTAGGAGGAGAAGCTGACTTGAGAAACTTGGAAATCTTGGCCATATGACTATGCACTTTTTTGTAACTGCTTGAAAAGGGTGAACACTAATAGAAATTGAAAGAGATAGATCTGAAGTCAGTAGCTGAAAATGAGAGACATAATTTAGTTGCATGTTGGGAAAATCTTGAGAGTACAAACATTACAAGTGATGGAGGAAAAGATTTAATCTAAATGTAAAAGAACATTTTTCTTGTTTTTGAAGGTTAATACTGCAATTTCACTGATTGCTCTGTAACCGAGAAACTTAATACTTTCCTTTACATTGGCAAAGGTGACTTAATTGAGACAATTATATTCTCTAGTTCTAAGTTCTTGGTTAAAAAATTCTTTCTTCCAGTTATATTTTCAGTCTAATAGCCTATAGTCTCATCGGTTTGTTTTCTGTATATTATTATGCTACTGTATGTAGAATTGGACGTGAATTAATTTGAGGAACTTTCAGACCTAAAAGGAAATAGTCTGACTTCATAAGGCTGAGTCAGAAGGGACAGTGTTGGCCTGAGCATCAGACAAAGGCGACAGAATTGCACTTGCTTACCACAGACGGCACTGGAGGACATCTGGCAATGATACTCTGTATTCAGAGAGCTGGAAGATGTGTTTTGGGAAGTCTAAGAATATATCTGATTTCTGTATTCAGAGAGCTGGAAGATGTGTTGTGTTTTGGGAAGTCTAAGAATATATCTGAAAGCTGCAGTAGGCAAAAGTTGGATTTGGTTTAACTTTCTTTTTTCTATCATATTCACTAATGGGATAACTGGTACAAATACTAATGCTTCATTTTTGTGTAGTAATTAGTGCAACTTCTTAGGTTTAAGGGCATGTTCAGCTCAAAAGATGCCCTGAATTAGAAGAAAAGAACTTATCTGAGTTTGAGTCTTGAAGTCAGAGAAGGAATTGACGGCTTTAAATAGGATTAAAAGATAGATAAGTAAAGACAGCTCTCAATCCTACTTTATTACATTGTGCATCACTGTGATTAACTGGCTTCAGGCATGATGCCAAGTGCTTTATTTTTTCAGCCAGAGAGAAACATAAATTTAAAGATATATGCTCCCATTTCAGTGGGTTAGAAAATTCACTACAGCTTTTACTGTAGAAATAGAAATCTGATACTTAATCAGCACCTTGCTACAACAGGATATTTGTAGGCACCAGGACAGAGACCTCTGAAGCTGTCAGTTCTGGCATCTGACTTTCCAGCCTTCTGTCTTAAAACTGCTTTCTGAAGTAAATGTGATTTACTGTGTCAAATAGTTAGACATTTGCATATACAAAATTAAACCTTTTCTCATTATTTTGATCACTGTGTTGTTATACATTATTCAAATTGCATATCACTTACGAAACCACATTTTCTCATTCACAGAGCCTTAGCTCTTCTGCCTCTAACATCAGTACAGACTTTATGCTCATCTGGGACATGCAGCCTTTCTGGAATTTGCTTGTGATCCTCTCAGGCAGCATTTGCCACTTACCCCTCATGTTTGCTTTCCTTTCATTCAAATAGAAGTGCAAGTTGGGCATGTAAGCCAGACCCTCTGATCTTTAAAATAAACATTTTGCCTTGTGCAGACATTTCAGATACTCTGCCAGCATCTTGAATTCCACATCAAGTCCCTTCTTCCCCCTTCTCCACTTGCCTTCGATTTCTTTTCAAAATAATTGGATTTTGAGTTGCATTGAAAGTGAGACATCAGTACTTGATAAAAAGATTTAGTCCATTGGCAGTATTGCTTATAATACTTAAGTACATGTATTGTCTTTTAAATGTCTCTAAATACATAGTTAATCTCTAAAATCTGTCTCTTAAAGGAGATTGAAGTGATTTCATAGTCAGTCCTTTGACCAAACAAAGAGAACCCAGGGGAATAGGTGTGAGCAGTATGTGCAGTATCATAATGTAAAATTGCAATATGATATTATATTTATACCTTTCCTCTGTTTCACCCTGAACTTTGAAAGAAATTAATTTGGGGAAGAGGGACAAATTGCTTCAGCTTCATCCAAGTCTTAGGCAGCCTTCCCAGAAGGAGCTGTGCAATGGACTGGGGCTCCATCCTGGTATTCAAATTATTCTGGGTCCTTGCTGAATTATTTTCCTCCTTGATCAAGACTTCATATTTTTGATATTTGGAACATCCAGATTCAGATAGATGTAGAAAAATGTAAAAGTCCTCCAATGCACAGATAGAAATGCTAAGTAACAAAAACTATAGCTGCTATACTTTGAAATGCCTGTTTTCTTTTGATACAGAAAGAAGAGCTTGCTTTTTCACTGGAATTGTGAATGCATTTCTCTTGTATCTCTGTATTCTTAAATACTTGCATAATATTTTATGTAAACATGGGGCAGCAATTTTAGCAGTAAGAGTTGTGGTCCTGTTAGACTCATAAGCAGGTTTGAATGCTGCTTTCTGAAGATTTTTTTTGCTACCCAAACTGTTTCAAATGTTGAAGTACTACTTTTGGAGAAATAGAGTGAGCAGTGTCATGGGTCTGCAGACCGGGCCACAACTTATCAGTGTAATAAGTGGTTTAAAAGGATATTTTGTGCTGCAGCTGTCTAATAGATATTAGAAAACAGCTTTTTTATACATATAGATATATTTTCAAGTAGTTATCACTTGGTAGTAACCATTTGTGACTGATCTGTATTTTAGAGGTTTAAATTAGGTTTTTTCCTGTGTTATAGATATTTAAGTTTTGGTAGGGCACTGCTAATTTTAGTTGCTTGCAGCTTTGAGGTTTTAAGTTTAGAGTCTCAAAGAGCTTATCTTTCTCCTGAGCTACGAGCCAAGTGTTTCCGTTTATGCAGTGGCTCCCTATATACATATATATTTGTAGTTTCACACTCTGCATTGCAACTGTTTTGCCTGTGTTTCAGATGCTTGTCTTAATGTGTTAAAACAGTGCTGTTGTTGGTGAGGTAGGGAGTGATGTATCTGTCCAATGAATTATTTCTTTCAAAACCTGCTATTGGGAAATATTCCTTTATTTTTGTTATGCTGGAAAAATGTAAAATGTAAGTGTGGGGTTGTTTTTAGTCTTCAATACTCTGCCGAAACCTTTAATGCTGCAATTGCTGACGTAACTAAAAAAGCCTTGATTCACAGAAACCCTGGAAGACACCAGTGAAATTATACCAAGTTTGCTTTAGCACTTCCTTTCCATTGAAGAATTGTCTCACACTTCAATTTTCTTT